TCTAGGCTCTCTGCGATTTCTGGAGGGATGAGCACCTTTCCCAAACTGGATCCTTTGCAGCAGTGTGCACATCGTGAGGTTTGTCTTTGACTCTTTCTTCCCTTTTTCTCTTTCTTTCCTTTCATAGTGCCTCTTCCTTATGCTACCCTCACACATGCTATGTCTTCATGGACTCTCCCTTCCCTTATGAAATCCTAGCCACAAACAAACAAACAAACAAACAAACAAACAAACAAACACAAAGAGCCCAAATGATTTACACAGTCAAGAGTATTTCCTTTCAGGGAAATTTTCCTGAGTGAAAGAGAAAATATGTGATGGAATGCCAGAAAGTTTCAATCACTTGGGGAGGTATTCATGGGTAGTCAGGATTGGATGACCCTACAGTGAATCCCTGGACATGGTCATCATCTTTGTCTTCTCTTAAAAATGGACCAAGACTTTTCTTTCCACTTCTAGGAACTAATGATCAAACTGAGAAACTCAGAAAATAGAGTAAGTCCTGTTATCCAGGTGCTTCTTCTATTTATAAAGGTCACTTTGGAAAGAGGCAACTCTTATTATCAGGAAAGTTTGTGACCTGTCAGGAGTTGTGGGGACCTCTTCTGTGATAGAATTCCTACAGGAGTTTAAAAGAAACAACTCTGCACTGTTTCACAGGACTTGTTAACAGGGCTTCTATGTCCATGGTCCCTTCTGCTGGTTGTTGTTGTTGTTGTTGTTGTTGTTGTTGTTGTTGTTGTTGTTTTACAAAGGCTCTGTATTGAAAGCAGGTATTACTTTTTCCATTTCCCAGATGAAGAAACTGGGGAACCCAAAATGAAGTGATTTTCCTAAGGTCTCCAGAAAAATTTTCATGGCCAATCTGGGACCAAAGCCAAAATCTTTTGGTTCCTGGATTAAGACCATTCTCACACACTACACTACTTTCTCTCCATCCACATCCTTTTACAAAGCAAGAGTCATGGGGTGCCCAAGTGGCTCCATTCATTAAGCTTCCAACTCTTGATTTTTGTTCAGGTCATGATCTCATGGTTTGTGAGATCAAACCCCACATCAGGCTCCGTGCTGACAGCAGAGAGCCTGCTTGGGATTCTCTCCCTTTCTCTTTGCCCCTCCCCCTCTTGTTCATTCTCTCTCTCTCTCTCTCTCTCTCTCTCTCTCTCTCTCTCAAAATAAATAAATAAACTAAAAAAAAGCAAGTTTCTTCTCTAGTAGTTCCGCATTCCTGGCTTCCCACCCCCTTCCACACCACATTATTCTCCTCTGCCCATAGGGAGCCGATATGCTGCACTATTCGTCAGGCAGGATAATCTCCAGGAGCTATAAGGAAAATGAGGAGGACTCCAAGGTTCAGGGCAGCCCACCTTCCAACTGCTTCTGGGGCTTTCTCCATTCTTATGAGCAGCTTTGCCACAGGAGCTTTATGGGCATTACCCCAGGTAGCAGCCATAGCCTGCTAACTGTCCAGTAGAGACCATTCCCTTCTTACAACCTCCCTGAGAGGAACTGAGAGGAAACATCTCACACTTCCTAAACCATAAAATCAGGGCCACCTGCTCCTATTTGGAGGGTCCAGTTACAGTGACAGACTAGTTAGGTGATGGAAGTGCAGGATGAGAATAAAACATAGATCCTAAATGGGTGAGCTGGGACAGAAAGAGCATTACTTCTGAGTTAGCTCTGTGATCCAACCCTATGTTTAGTGGCCCTGGGGACATTAATCCATCCTTCTGGTTCTTAATTTAATGATCTGAAAATGAGAATAAGATCTATTCTCCAATTCTAAAATGGGAATTAAACTAGAAAAGAAACGTGGTAGACACCCATCACTGGCCAAAGTCACAAGATAGCACAGTGGGAAAGGAAGAAACAAAGAGAAACATAGAAACTGGAATAGTTAGGGAATGTTTAAGAGATAGCATAGCCCAGTGGTTAAGAGCATGGACATTGAGGATAGATGTAACGGAATTCAAATTCCAGTTCTACCATTTATTAACTCTGTGACTTCGAGGATGTCACAGAACCCCTTTGGCAATGTTTTCATCTATAAAATGGAAATAATAATACCTATGTCACATAATTTCTGTGGTCACCAAATGAAAAGCACATAGGTAAAGCTCTTAGAACAATACCTGGTTTATAGAAAGGGCTCAGTACATGAGTGGCTACAACTTTTAGATCTCATGCATCATCATTCCATAATGAAACCAATTCAGAATAAGTCTATAGCATATTATGAATTTCCACATTGTTATAATTGAAAAGTCTTATGTTCACCCTCTTGAGTAGTATCATGGTGACATCCTTTAGTTAGAAATATAAAAGCAGATAGGCCAGCAGAAGTGAATAAATCCATTTCTAAGGGGCAAGAAGCTAAGTAAACCAAGTGGGCAGTGTGATGTAGTTGGACATTTGGAGCACTCAAGGTATCCAGACATAAGGTGACCACTTAACACTGAGTTATGCTCAGCAAGTCACTTCCCTAAGCTTTGGTTCCTCATCTGTGAGATGCGAATAGTTACTGTTGCAGCTGAAGTGTCTCAGAATAGCTCTGATGATTATATGAGATAATGTATGTACAAGTGCCTTACAGAGAGGCTGTTCTTAATTAGTTCATACTTTTTCTCCCAATAGTCTAATTGTGAAGTTTAAGATTTCTTGGGTTTAGACATGGATGCAGCTCATTTGTGCACTGCCAACTCTGATTTCCTCCCCAAAAGCTATGATTTATGACCAGCCCAGATCATTATGACAACCCTGTGAAGAAAGGCCAGACACACAGCACTTTGCTTAGTTCTGGGAACCAAATTTTAATGACAGTGACAGCGTGGAGTAGGTTTGCTGTAGAGAGACCTGGATGACAGAAACACTCACTCCCAGAAAAACCTGGAGACCAGTAAAACAGGACTGAAAAATTGATAGGCTTAATTGCCAGCATTTACTGAGCACTTACCAAGAACCAGGAACTCTCACCTCATCCTCATAAACACAACTTCATGAGTGATGTGCTGTTAACACCCCCATTTTAGAGATGAGGAAACTGAGGCTCAAAGAGGATAAGTGACTTTCTCAAGATCATAAGGCTATTAAATGAAAGAGCCGGGATCCCAGGCCAGTGTGTGGGCTTTTCACCACTGCACCGTCTGCCTTTTTTGACTGATGTTTAGATTTCTTAAGGGCTTTCATGTTGAAGAATAAACTTGTTCTGTGAGATTCCAAAGGGCCAAACACAGTCCAAGTAATAGGACTGAAACTAGTGTTACATGTTATCAAAAATTATTTTTAATGGTGTGCTGACAATTAGATTAAGTCTCCTTCAGTTTTTTTGAGAGCAAAAGATTGGAAATCCCTTATCTAAAAAAAAGGATTTGCTATTGGTTATTAAAGTCATTCATTTTATTCATATTCTGATTGTTCCTTCATTTGACTTCTTTGGGGTTTTCTATCTTGAGTCAGTGCATCTAGTAAGATTTGGGATGAATGAAAATATGTCTTTCATTTGTTAGGCAAAAGACAGAATAATGCATAAGGTTCAAGTCATCTTGATGACAAAATGATTTCAGAAAAGAGAAACATAGAAGCTGAGAATCTGGAAACTGTTTCTCCTGAAACGTGTCTGTATATTCTTTGAGAAGTCTTTGGGTACCACCAGGGATACGCATTCCTCAAAATAGAAACTGTTGGACCAAATAACTTATGAAACCCTTTTAGTAGGTGGATTTCTCAGTTATGTAGCCCATCAAGAGGTCTTATTACCATGTATAAGGTGCCTTGGTTTTAATTTGAGGAGTCATGTTATATGGTATCACTAGCATAGTCTTTGGAGTCCAATAAACATGACTTTAAATTCAGATTTTTCCCTTTGTGGGCAAAACAAAACAAAACAAACAAACAAAAAAGGTTAAACTTTCCATGCCTTAGTTTTCTAATTTTTAAAACTGGTGAATCTGTACAATTTGTAGTAGTGGTGATGTTGATGACAATGAAAAATCCACACCTCGTTATTTTGGAAAAGAATTAAGTCCTTGATCTGTCTATCAACACCGTGTGTAGTTTATATTGGAGCACAAAAGTGATAGTAACTAAGCAGGCTTCTCAAATGTTCAAATCTATAAAAATAATCCTTTTTTAGAAAACAGTACAGAGCTTCCTAAAAAAAAAATAAGATTATAACTACTATATGGTAGTTATAATCTGGGCCCCCAGGCCTGAGGCCCAGTACTATCAGTACTATAGGGTCCAGCAATTCCACTTCTGGGTATTTATTCACAGAAAACAAAAATACTAAATTCAAAAAAATGTATGTACACTTATGTTCACTGCAGCATTATTTACAATAGCCATGACATGAAAACAGCTTAAATGTCCATGGATGAATGAATGGCTTAAGATGTGGCATGTACACACACACACACACACACACACACACACACACACACACACACACGAATGCTATCCAGCCATAAAAAAAGGAATGAAAACTTGCCATTTGCAATGACATGGATGGACCTTAAGGGCATTATTCTAAGTGAAATAAATCAGATAGAGAAAAACAAATACATATGACCTCACTTATATGAGGAATATAAAGAAGAAAAAAAAACCTCATAGATGCAGAGAACAGAATGGTGGCTGCCAGAGGCAGAGGGCAGGAAGTGGGTGAAATGGGTGAATGGAGTTCAAAGGTACAGACTTACAGTTAAAAAATGAATAAGTCATGAAAATGTAATGTACAGCATTTTTAGCAGAGTTCATAATATTGTACTGCATTATTTGAAAGTTGCTAAGAGAGTATATCTTAAAAGTCTTCATCACAAGAAAAATAACTTGGAATTATGTATGGAGATGGGCATTAACTAGAATTATTGTGGCAACCATTTTGCAATTTATACAAATATTGAATCATTATGGTGTATACCTGAAACTAATATAATATTATATGCCAATTATATATCTCAATAAAAAAATAATAATCCTGTTTGTTCTTATGGCAACAGATGGTCAATAACAGCTGGACCAGTGTATCCCATTTTGTTCTATTGGGCATATCTACCCACCTGGAAGAGCAGATCCCACTCTTTCTTCTTTTTCTACTGATGTATGCAATCAACATTTTTGGGAACTTTGCCATCATCACATTGATTATCTCTACTCCATGTCTCCACACCCCCATGTACATCTTCCTCAGTAATTTGGCTTTGGCAGACATCTGTTTCACCTCCACCACGGTCCCCAAGATGCTACAGAACATTTTCTCGCCTACAAAGGCCATTTCCTACATGGGCTGCTTAGCCCAGACCTATTTCTTCATTTGCTTTGCAGCCATGGAAAACTTCCTTCTGGCTGTGATGGCCTATGATAGATACATCGCTATCTGCTACCCTTTCCGCTACCCTATGATCCTGACCAGAATGCTGTGTTCACAGATGGTGGCTCTGTGCCATATCCTCTCCCATCTTCATGCCCTGCTGCACACCTTTCTTATGGGCCGATTAATCTTCTGTGCAGATAACCAGATTCCCCATTTCTTCTGTGACCTCTACCCTCTGATGAAGATTTCCTGCTCCAGCCCCTACCTCAACACCCTGATGATTCACACGGAGGGTGTTATTGTCATCAATGGAGCTCTGGCTTTCATCATTGTCTCCTATGCCCGCATCATCTCAGTGGTCCTCCAGATCCCCTTGGCCAAGAGCAAATGGAGAGCTTTTTCTACCTGTGGCTCCCACCTCACTGTGGTGTCTATCTTCTATGGCACACTCACATGGGTCTACTTCCGGCCCCTTACCAGCTATTCAGTGACTGAGGGTCGCATTCTGACAGTCATGTACACAGTGGTGACCCCCATGCTGAACCCCTTCATTTACAGCCTGAGGAATGGGGATGTCAAGGGAGCCTTCAGAAAATGGGTGAGCAGAATGTGGACTTCTTCCTTTAGATAAAAACCCAAAACACAGTTCCCAGTTTTATCTATGATTCTGGGGAAACAGTTTTGCCCTTCGCATATCTGTTTCCTTTAGAACTTCTCAGAAATATCTAAATTAGGAACATATTATGGATTTTACCATTGAATATTATCCTGAGCTGTCCCTTAATTCCAAAGCACATGAAACTATGTATTTAGTGTAAGCCACTTGTGTAACTTTAATTATAATTGAGAATGTTTTCTGGGTCTGCCATTAAACAACAAGGTTGTAACATTCTTAGATGCAGGCAACAGAAACTAATTCTGGTTGATTCATGGAGGAAATGAGTTTATTAAAAGAGTATGTGAAACTCATGAATTTCCAAGAAGGCTAAGCAACCGGGCTCAATAAAATAAACAAGACTAAGAAAGATCATATGGTCATAACCACAATCAAAATCATATCCTAGAATTGGTCTGATGAGATCACTGCTGTAGACTCTTTTCACTGCCGCGTATATCATCAACAACACTATCAGTACTAGCCATTTGCATAGCCCCTGGAGGCCTGACAACCAGATGTGACAACCTCCAGAAAGAACTGCCCACTTCTTGTTCTTTGTAACAACGCATCTAGATTCAAAATGAGGTGGTCCATGTGGCTGGCCAAGACTTGGTCATGGCGTCCATGCTCTAGTTCTCAAGGAAACCGGGCAAGCAATATTGCTGCTTTCATTATCTGTAAGTGGGTGAGAGGTTCTACCTCCCACCAAGACAAATGAAATGGTGGAACTACTCCAGTATGGGAAGAGAGACATAATGACAAATATCTACTATTTAGGGTCAGTAATTAAGCACTGTCACAGCTCTCCAACTTGCATTTTCTTAACCTTTATTAGCTGCACCATTCAGGGATAACTTAAACTCTTTTTGTCTCAGCATGCTCCTAATCTTCTCTGTAGCTGATTTGTGGAACTTGCCTATATTACTGGGCATTTGCCAACTAATCAGTGCTAGAAATGAGAAATGGGTCCGAGAGCTAAGATGTCTATTAAAATGTCAATTCTTTGGTTTCATGGGCGTTTCCAGTTTCTTTCTGAAAGGAAAAGGTGAGAAGGACCTCCCAGGACATGGGGCAGAAATTACAAGGGCAGGCTGATTTATAGGCCATCAGACTGTAGAAAGTTTTATTGTAGGATATGAGCAGTTATAGCACTGAATTGAGAAGGAGCTAACATTGTGGTAATTTTGTGTAATGGGATAGAAGAATGGTTTCTTGGAACCTATATGTAAGTATTGGTCACCAATGAAACTGGTTTAAGGAGCTAAACTCCTTGAGTCTTTGACTGCATCAGGATAATAAATTCTTCCAAGGTAAAGAGGGCCCTGACACTTATAAAATGATAATAACAGAGAAATGAAACCAACTTTTGATTACTTAACTCTGGTTCTTCACACTTTCCAGGAAGTACCTAACATATCCAATATTTTTCTTCTGGATTATACTGTTTTCTTTTACTTTGTCTTTCCTGCCTCCTTGGCCTACCTTCCTCCTTTCTGTGTCTTTAGGTGGCAGTTCCATGGCTGATCTCCTTTATGCTTTACCAAATAATTTGCATCACCTGTTAGCACAGTAGCCTCTTCTAAGAAGCCCCAAATGCCCCTATGGAAAGAACTTTCTTCAGGTAAAGAAATGGACAAGAGAGTAAATTAATACATTAATAATTGAAGAACTGGAAAATGCTATGGAAAAATTTTGTATTTAGATAATACACTTCCACTTCTAGGAGTTTATCTCACATAATGGATATATATAATGAATAAATATATTTTATGTTCAATACACTTTTGTTTATGATAGTGAAAAATTAGAAATAATTTTCATGTATACTAATGGAATTCTGGTTCATTTTGTTTGGTAGTTAGATAGACAGTATTATCTGCTCACAATTCTTCCTTCCTTTTCTTTCTTTGTCATGGCTTTTCTGGGGCAGAATCCACATCTCCATCCCATTGACTTTGGGCTGGCTTTAGCTAGCAGTTTATGAACAGGCATAGCAAATGCTGCTTCCAATAAAAAAGCTTTGAAAGGATTTAGATCATTTGGTTTGCCCTCTTGAGCTCTGGCATTCACCATGAGATAAAAAGCTCATCTCATGTAGCTAAAGCTCCTTAGCTTTAGTCTCAGAATGTGAAACACATAGAGCAGACCTGAACTTGACCCAGGACTGATGCACGGTTGCCTCTTCTAACCTGCAAATTTTTTACCAAGGAATAAATATCTATTGTTATAAGCCACTGAGGTTTGGGGAATGTCTCTTCTTCAGTACTTTGAAGGAAATTTCAACCAATACATTACACACATACCATGAACTGCTGTGCAGTCAATAAAAAGAATAAGGCAGATTAATTCCTGGCCTTACTCTCAGATCATCAATAACCTTTAGGTACATACAGATATCCAAACCATTAACCACCAGCAGTTTGTTCATTTCTCCCATTATTTTTTTCACTTGTATGCTATTGATGATGATGATGTTGATGATGATGATGGTGATGATGATATACACACATATGGTGCTCATGAGCTGGTCATTATTATGAGTGCTTTACATATATTTTATTCATAAAATCCTTTCAACAACCCTAAATTATAGATACAATTTCTCTCTTCTTTACAGATGGGTAACTGAGGCAGAGGGTAGTTGAATCATTGTGAAAGATCATTCTAGTGTAAGCCCTATAGTTGGCTTTTCTTTCTGTAATGCAAGTGCCTGACTTAACTTTGATTTTGGAGGGATCCATTTTAAAGGCTATCTCAAATAAATACATTGCCAGCCACACTCCCTGCCACTTTATATCCACCCACACACACACAGAATGCTCATTTGTTTTAGAGATCTTGATTGATTTAAATTAACTGACTATTTGGGATGTTTGTTTTTTTCTCATCCCACACTTTAAACTCCTGTTCTTATGTTTTAAATCTGCCCACAAAGTGAACTTGTGAAACCCTAGGCCCCTCATTTTACCTCAATAAAAACAGAACACCAAGCCCAAGCTCTCTCACGCTCCCTTTCTACCTGTGAACCTGCTGTGTGCCCCTAGGTATGCTGTATGCTTTCCAGGACCTGTGAGTAATAAACCTTTTTTTTTTTTCCCAAAGTTTCCCAGTGCTTATTACTGAGGCCTCTTGCAATTTATAGTAAGAACCACAGGGGTAGGTCCAGCTACAACACTGGTTATCAACAGCCTGAGAAAATAATTACACAGCAAGTAATGACACAAGTGGGATTCTAATTCATAGTATCTGGCTCCAGAATCCATCCCCTTAAACACTATCCTACACCATCTTCAAGAAAGCCCATTATCATTTCTCTTGGGTTTCTGTACTCTGTTTCATGCTGACCTCTTCAAGGAGAATAATTTCTGGAAGATAATATGTTTGCACAAAAGAGCTACTTACTTCTATTGTGTCAGTGTAATTATAAATACTGTACTCTTTATCTCCCAAAGGTGTGTGTTTCTTTACACCAACACTTAACTATCTGAAAAGGAAATCAAGAAAACAATCCCGTTTGCAACAGCATCAAAAAGAATAAAATATTTAGGAATAAATTTAACCAATGAGTTGAAAGATATGTACACTACAAATGGTAAAATGCTGATGAAATAAATTAAAGCAGACACAAATAAATAGAAAGATATACCACGTGCACGGATTGGAAGAATTAATATTGCTAAAATACCAATACTACCCAAGGGGATATTCAGATTCAACACAATCCCTATAAAAATTTCAAAGGCATTTTTCACAGAAAAACATTCTAAAATACTTATGGAACAAGAGAAGACCCCAAATAGCCAAAGCAATCTTGATAAAGAACAAAGCTGGAGACATCATATTTCCTAATTTTAAACTGTATTACAAAGCTACAGTAATCAAAAACAGTACGGTACTAGCATAAAAACAGACACATAGGCCAATGAAAAGAATAGAGAGCCCAGAAATAAGCCCAGGCACAAATAGTCAACTACTCTTTGACAAAGGCGCCAAGAACACACAAAGGAAAAAGGATAGTCTTTTGAATGCATGATGTTGGATAACCTGGATATCCATATCCAAAAGAATGAAACCTGACCCCTACATTACACCAGTCACAAAAATTAACTTGAAATAGATTAAAGATTTGAAATGTAAGACATGAAACCATAAAACTCCTAGAGGAAAACATAGAGAAAAACCTTCTTGACATTGATCTTGGTAATCTTTTTTTAAAAAATTTTTAATGTTTATTTATTTTTGAGAGAGAGAAAGAGAGACAGAGTATGAGTAGGGGAGAGGCAGAGAGGGAGATACAGAATCTGAAGCAGACTCCAGGCTCTAAGTTGTCAGCACAGGGCCTGATGTGGGGCTCAAACTCACAAACCACGAGATCATGACCTGAGCCAAAGTCAGACACTTAACCAACTGAGCCACCCAGGTGCCCCTTGGCAACCTTTTTTTTTTTTCAATATGTCATTAAAAGAATGGGCAAAAAAATCAAAAGCTGACAAACAGGATTTCATGAACTAAAAAGTATCTGCACAGCAAAAGAAAGAATCAACAAAATGAAAAGGCAATGTATGGAATGGAAGAAGACAATGGCAAACCATATATTTGATAAGGGGTTACTATCCAAAGTATATAAGGAACTCATACAATTCAATAGCAAAAACAAAGCAAATGAAACCATATATTCCTATTAAAATGAACAAAGGACCACAATAGACATTTTCCCAAAGAAGACATACAAGTGACTAACAGGTATATGAAAAAGTGCTCAATATCACTAATCATCAGGGAAATGCAAATCAAACCACAATAAGATATCACCTCACACCCATTGCAATGGCTATTATCAAAAAGGTAAGAAATAATAAGTGTTGGCAAGGATGAGGAGAAACTGAAACTCTTCCACACTGTTGATGGGAATGTAAAATGATACAGCTGCTATGGAAAACACAGTATGAAAAGTTCCTCAAAAATTTAAAAATAGACCTACCACATGATCCAGCAATTCCATTTCCAGGTATACACACAAAGGAAAGAAACTAGTGCCTAGAAGAGATATCTGCACTCCCATGTTCATTGCAGCATCATTGACAATAGTCAAGATATGGAAACCAACTATGTGTCTGTCAACAGATGAATGGATAAAGAAATTTGGGTATGTATATACAACGGAATATTATTCAGGTTTAAAAGATTATATCTAGTCATTTGCAACAACATGGATGAACTTGGAGGACCTTATGCTAAGTGAAATAAGCCAGACATAGAAAGGAAACAAAACTGCATGATATCTCCTAATCTAAAAGAATCAAATACTTAAGAAGCAGACAGTAGAACAGAAGTTACCAGTGGCAGAGAGTTGGGGGAAATGGGGAGATATTGCTTAAAGATACAAAGTTGCAGTTGTGTAGGATAAGTACGAAGTCTAGAGATCTAATGTACAGCATGATAAACATAGTTAATAATATTGCACTGCCTATTGAAAATTTGCTAAGAGATTGGATTCCAGGTGCTCTTAGCACACACACACAAATGGTAACTATGTGAGGAGACGACATGTTAATTAGCTTGACTGAAGTAATCACATCACTATGTATGTCTGTACCAAACCATCATGTTGTACACCTTAAATATATAAAATTCTTATTTAAAAAATAAAATAAATAAAATAAAAAATCTTTCTAGTGTTCCTTCCTCACTCCTTGATGACTTCAGCATCTGATTCTCTGTCTCCACCACTATTTAATTCTCACATTTGGAAATACCAATATCCATACAAATGGTTTATCTAGCAACTTGGATTCTCCATTCCTACCCTGTTTAGCTCCAGCAATCTTTTCCTTCACCTCATCTCAGCCACCCACTCATATGGTTATATCTTAGACTTTGCTATTACAAGCTCTTTCACCTGACTTAATTCAGATCTCCGACTCCATCCATTCTCTGACACTGCTGAGATTACCATTGCTTGAGATTGTTTTTCATTATCCATCACTTCATTCATGCTCTTCTTTCCCACCTTAACAAGAATATATTTTATGGTCCAGAACTGTAACCATCTTCTTGCAAACACCCTTAGTTCTATCGTCTCATTTTGCTCTACCTGGCAAAATTCTAGCCCTAGGTAAACCCAACATTTTGTTTTGATGACCTGAATATATTTGGAGAACATCACCCAATCATGCTGATTTAATATTAAGCTTCTGAACAAAACACCAATATTGGCAGAGTTGGGGCTTACCATAACATCTCCTAGAACTTCACTTTCCCAAACTCTAGCATATTCCACACATTTCTTTCTACAATTCTCTAAAACAACCCTGCTCCCACTACTCTCTATTGAAGTCTCTTCAAATACATGACATCTTCCTGCCATCAAATCCATCAGCCCACCTACAACTGAACCCATGTATGCTGACTTCCTTTTTGTTAGAGGGGGAAATGTGGCTCAGCCCCTTGATAAAATCATCCCCTATGATTTGATATGAATCCTCTTTTGAGGCCTTTATTCTTGCAATTAAATACTTTCTCTCTTGAATTATTAATTTTTAATTACATACTGGATCATTTCTATCAGCAAGCAAACAAGCTTATTATCTTTATCCTTTACAAAAATTAAGAGGAAATTCTCCCTTGACTCATGTCCTTCTCAAATTACACACCACTTTTTGTCTACCTTCTCAAAAACAAAACAAAACAAAACAAAACAAAAAAACTATACTTCAGAAGTATCTATCATCACAGCCTCCACTCTCAGTTGCAATTTTATCATAAAAGGAATGTAATTAGAATTTTTCCCTTAACACTTCACTTAAGTACTCTGATTTTCAAAGTTTCCAGTAATCTATATCTTGCCAAATCTAATAATCAATTATGTTTTCTTTAATGACCTCTTAACTACATTTGAGTGAGTGAGACTCCTGTATTCTGGATATACTCTTTCCTAGGATCATTACATACTAAATTACCTGCCTTCTTTCTACTAATGGCCACTTGTCAGTTTCCTTTCCTACCTCTACTCCCAGACCTTTAAATTTTTATGTTTTTATTTATTGAGAGAGAGAGAGAGAGAGGGAGAGAGAGAGAAAGAGACAGTGCAACTAGGGGAGGGACAGAGAGAGAGGGAGACACAGAATCTGAAGCAGGCTCCAGGCTCCAAGCCAGCTGTCAGCACAGAGCCTGACACAGGACTTGAACTCACGAACTGTGAGATCATGACCTGAGCCAAAGTTGGACGCTTAACCGACTGAGCCACCCAGGCGCCCCTGAGTTCCACTCCCAGGCCTTTAAATCTTTAAGTGTGCACCTATCTCAGGGCTCTTCTCTTTTCTATCTTCTCTTACTATGTGATTCTATCCAGTGCTATGGCTTGAAACACGATCTACATTTGGTTGTGACATTTCTATCTCAAGACAAGATGTCTCCATGAGCCTCAAGAATTATATATTCAACTGCCTATGAAATATCTCCACTTGGGTAGAGATCACAAAATTAACATGGCCATACAGACTTAGTGATTTTGCCCCCCTCCCAACCGAATCTGCATTACTTCCACCTCCACAGAGACTGTCACATATATTAGAAATTAGCAAAATGATTCCATCCACTTCCACAGTCCATCCTTGATTCTTCTTTTTCCCCTGAAATATTACATCAAGTCTATCAGTGTGTTTAAACAGCTCCACTTACCTTTAGTCCCAAATCAGACCACCTACTTCTGGTGTTAGAGCCACTATGAAGACTCTCCCACCCAGTCTCTATTACCAGTGGCCTAGATTGTCTTTTATGAAGTGACATGAACACTCAGATGGAATAATTCAGTATAAATACTGAACTTCTTATTAGTACTGTGAGTTGAAAATAATGAGAGACTGTAAAATTATTACTGCTTTAAAAGAGGTTTAGCAGCACCTTCAACAGTATCCAAATTATGGAAAGAGCCTAAATGTCCATCAATGATGAATGGATAAAGAAGATGTGGTTTATATATACAATGGAATACTACTTGGCAATGAGAAAGAATGAAATCTGGCCATTTGCAGCAATGTGGATGGAACTGGAGAGTGTTATGCTAAGTGAAATAAGTCATACAGAGAAAGACAGATACCATATGTACCAGAAAGACAGATACCATATGTGGATCTTCAGAAACTTAACAGAAGACCATGGGGGAGGGGAAGGGGGGAAAAAGTTACAGAGAGGGAGGGAGGCAAACCATAAGAGACTCTTGAGGACTGAGAACAAACTAAGGGTATATAGGGGGTTGAGGAGAGGGGAAAGTGTGTGACGGTCAGGGAGGAGGGCACTTGTTGGGATGAGCACTGTGTGTTGTATGGAAACCAATTTGACAATAAATTATAATTTAAAAATAAAAATAAATAAAAATAAAAGAGGTTTAGGCTACTCCATGGTCCACTCAAAACTCACTCTCCTGGGTGAAACACCTGTACTCTGAAAACTATAAAACACTGATGAAAGAAATTGAAGATTACACAAATAAATGGAAAGATATTCCATGTTCATGGACTGGGAGAACAAATATTGCTAAAATGTTCATGCTACCAAAAGCAATCTATAGATTTAATGCAATCCCTCTAAAAATATCAACAGCATTTTTCAAAGAACTAGAACAAATAATCCTAAAATTTGTATGAAACCACTGAAGACCCTGACTAGCCAAAGCAATCCTGAGAAAGAAGAACAAAAGTGGAGACATCACAATCCCAGATTTCAAGATATAATACAAAGATGTAGTAATCAAAACAGTACTGGCACAAAAGTAGACACAGATCAA